AATTGTTCAATCCCTTTGATTTGTGTAGCAACTAGGAGTGTATGGTTTATCGAGTCGAAACTAATGACTCTTAGGAGGATTGTTCAACTAGATTAAATGCAACTACATGTGTTGTGTTGTCTTGCTTTGTTGATCTTTCTAATACATAAAGTCATTGTTTGATTAAATCTTAGATCGTATCTAGGGTTGTTAAATAATGAAGGTTGATTAGAATACATGTTTCTAGTTGGCTAATCGTAAGGAAAGATTGATTTCAATATCACAACAAATATTTGAATGGAAATCGATATTTCGTGCACCAAGGATAAATCTCAAGTTCCAAAAGTGGATGTTACCCGAACCAAGGTTTGTTTACTTGAATATTTACTCTAAACTCATTTTTTGAATTTAATTTGTTTAGTTTCGGTTATATCTCAATCAAATCAAAACCCCCTTTTTTATTTATTTTATGTTTCCTGTAGACTTGTGACGACTAACACGATCGAATTCCTTGTGAGATTGATCTCTACTCTCCCTTACTACATTTATGTTATAGGAGCTTAGGAGTTTAATTTGGGTGCACACGACAAGCATAAACTACACCAATCCTCTTTTCAAGTGCTAGAGGAGGCCGGATGTGAAGTGTATTAAATGCAATAAAATGGAACATCATGAGAAGATTTATAGGAGCAACCTTTAGTAGTAAAATAAAGCTCAAGTTGTAGACCAATAAAAAGAGGAAGAATAGATATTTATAGTTCATGTTTTACCAACGAGTAGTTCAAGTGAGAACTAGCTCATAGATAATGGTTGCACTAATCATATGAACTATGATCAAGAATTTTTAGAGAACTTGATAGGTCAATTGTTTCAAAAGTCAAAATTGGCAATGGTCGGCATATTACGATCAAAGGAAAGGGAACCGTAGCTATTGAAAGCTACACAAAATACAAAGCTAATTTTTTATGTTTTATTTTTACTTGAAATTGATCAAAATTTGTTGAGTGTGGACGAGTTGCTTGAAAAGAGCTTCGGGTGATCTTTGAAGATAAGTAGTGCTCGATTAAAGATACAAGTGATCAAAAAGTATTCGGAATCAAAATGATAGGTAAGATTTTCTCTTTGGATCCATTGGAGGAAAAACAAGTAGCTTATCCCACCGTTGTTAATATTGTTGAGACTCGGCACAAGAGACTAAGTCACTTTCACTATGTCTGCAGCTTTAAAATATGTAAAGAAACGAGATGGTTAAAGGCTTACCTCTATTAGAAGGGCATTTACTAAGCTACAAGGCATGTTAGTATGGCAAGCAAACAAGGCTTCCATTTTCACAAACGATCTAGAGAGCATCACATAAGTTACAGTTTATTCATACCGATATATGTGGACCTCTCGTCAACACCATCATTAAATGGAAGTAAATATTATATTGCTTTAATTGATGATCTAACAATAATGTGCAAGATTTATTTTCTAAGATTTAAGTCAAAGGTTGCTTGGTGTGTTTTGGAGGTTCAAGGCATGTATTGAGAATCAAAGTGGTTGTAGAATCTAAGTCTTAAAGATCGGATAATAGGAAGAAGTACACTTTAGAACGGATTAATCTATTTTTGAGGTATCTAGAATTGAGCATCAACTTATCGCTCCCTACACTCCATAACAAAATGGTGTGAGAGAAAAAATAGAACCATAATGAAGATCGATAAATGTATGATGCATGAAAAAGGCCTACTAAAGAAGTTATAGGCATAAGCAGCAAATATTATTATTATTTTTTTACTAAATTGGCTATCCACTAAGGTCGTTGATGGGAATACTCCATTTGAGGCTTGGTATGGATACAAACCATCCTTATTAAACCTTAAAATTTTTTATTGCATTTGTTTCTCACATGTTCCCCGAGTGAAGAAGGACAAGCTAGATAGGAGGGAAAAACCAAACATTATTATTGGCTACAAGCAATGTCTCTAAGGCTTACAAGATCTTTCAACCTCAAACTAGGAAGATTCGATAAGCAGAGATGTTCAATTTATTAAGGATCAAAAATGGATCCGGGAAACCAAAGAGGGAAATCAAAACATTTTTTTCTTCAATGAATGATGGAAATGAGGTTGATGAGCCACTCGTCGAGGTACTTAGACTAATTTTTGATATTTATTAAAGGTGCAATATAGCTATTTTTTACCTATAAGATATAAGGAAGCTAAAAAGGATTCAAAATGGATAGTCTGTAATGAAGGAGGAGCTGAGTGTGATTAATAAAAATTAGACTTGGGAGTTTATTAAAAGGCTTAGGAATACAAAAATCACTGGTGTCAAATGAGTGTTCGTAACAAAACCGAATGATGATGGCTCTATCAACAAGCACAAAGCCAAATTACGATGAAGGATTTTACTCAAGTGTTTGGTTTTGATTTCTCGAAGACATTTGCTTCTCGCTACACAACTAGATACCATCGAATGTCGCTAGTATTGGTCGCTCAATATGGATGGAAGGTGTTTCAACTTGATGTCATATCAACTTTTCTTAATGGTTATCCGTAGAAGGAGATTTATGTTGAGCAACCCGAAGGTTTTATTGTGAAAGGGCAAGAAGATAAAGTCTATTTGCTGAAGAAGCCTCTCTGTGGCTTGAAACCGACACCAAGGACTTGCACAGTAGAATTAATGAGCACTTGTTAGGCTTAGCTTTGTAAAAATTTTGAGTGAGTCCACTCTCTATGTTAGATATTATAAAAATAAAATAGTAATTGTTTCTTTATATGTGGATGATCTCTTGATGATATGAAGTGATGCAATATTCATTGAGCAATTCAAAAAGGAGATGATGATGGTCTTTGAAATGACGAGACTTAGGTGAAATGGCATACTTTCCCGGTATGGATATTAGACAGAACCAAGCAGGATGTGTTTATCTATGCGAGAAAATATGGTAAAGAAATTCTGAAGAAATTTCAAATTAAGGATTGCAAAATAATGAGCACTCATATGAACAAAAAAAGAAGCTCAGCAAATAAGATGATGTAGAAAAAGTGAAAGAGGCTATAGAAGCCTCACTAGATGCCTAATGTATTTTACAACGACTAGACCTGATATCCTACATGTTGTAAGTGTGTTGTCAAAGTTCATGCAATATGCTAATGAAATGCATTTCAAAGCAACCAAGCGTGCTCTTAGATATGTCAAAGGGACTCTTGATGATGGATTTTTGTTTGGTTAGAGTTAGAATTTTCAGTTTCATGGATATTCTCACAGTGATTGGCAAGGCCCTTAGATGGTATGAAGAGCACTTTAGGGTAACATTTCACTTTTAGCTTAGGTGTGTTCTTATAGAGTTCCAAGAAACTAGAGACTATGGCTCAATCAACTACTGAGGCAAAATTCATTACTATTGCAGTTGCTATGAATCAAGCTTTATGGCTTAAGAAGGTCTTGACTGATTTGTAAGTGGAGCAGAAAGAGAGCACAAAAGTGTTTGTTGACAATCAGGCAGCTATTGTAATCTCCAACAATCCTGTCTTCCATGGGAAGACAAAGTATTTTAATATTAAGTTGTATTTCTTAAAGGAGGTACAAAAAATGGTGAAGTATGGTTGTTATATAGCAAGACTACTGAAAATCAGTTTGTTGATATTTTACAAAAGCATTCCTTGATAGCAGATTTGCGTTTCTAAGAGAAAAGCTTAGAGTTTGCAGCTACTGAGGTAAGGAGGAGTATTACAGATGTGTCATAGTAGCTACTGAATGTGCAGAAGCTAATGAGATGGCAAGCAATCTTAGCTGTAGACCTAAACAAAATCAACGTTGAATGTGCTTTATTGTTATACTTGTTTTTTTGCAGTACATTGTTAATTGCGACAAGTTAGGAGTATATGTTAGTTAGTTACAGTAACTTAGGATGATATGCTAGTTAGTGGCTTAGTGGATAGCAGTTATCTCTCAATTTTGGTATTTAAACATTAGTTTTGTTTAATAAAATTGATTAGATTTGCAGCTTATTCAAAGCTTTCTTCAACTTGAATTTTCTGCATTTTTATTGCTTCTGTTGCTGTCTTTGTGAGTAAATTCCAACAGTTTCTATTTTGGCTCATTTTGTTTGATTTAGCTGTCTCAGTTACTATATGATGACACCAATATCGCAAATCGGTTAGGAGTCAAGGACTTGGGCAACTTATAAGATCTAGCTACCACCTTTCTCCCCAGAAGGAACCTTTTGGGAACAAAATCCACCACGAAGCCATACGTCCGAACGTGGGACAATATTTTTTTAAGGTGCCAGCAGCCATGTTGCCGATTTGGGTCAACATCATCGATGCATGTTTTCCTCTCTTTTTAAAATTTCTCCAAATCCAGCAAGCACTATCTCTTACGCAGCTCTCACATAAATCTGTGAGTCTCACATCTCTCCATCATTCTCCATTATGTTACAGTGTTACAGTCACTTTTCTTCTAGAAATTTCACCACGTTGTAAATTCTTGAAAGTCTTAACAACTTGTTTTTTTAAGAAGAATATTTTCAAGTCTGCACATGAAACTTGAGCCTCAGTTGACAAATTGCAATAACCAAATGAAGAAGTAGAAGTAAGTTTGACCTTTTCCTCTTCAAACATAACCCCTCATTTCTCTTTCAAAATCTATTTTATTATTATTATTATTATTATTATTATTTTGATAATACATGGGGTTAACAACGGAAAGGAAGCACATCTTAATTGATTTTGAGGGAGTTGGATAGGGAGAGGGCGACGTGGAAGTTGAGGGAATTGCCCTAATATTGGCCCCATTCTCTGGCAAACAGTTGTCTTGGTTTTCGTTTCTTCAATATAAATGTTTGTTTAGCGAATGCAATCTTTATGAACTAAAAAAAGCTCTAAAAAAAACTAAATTCTTACACAAACATGGACTTCTTCTTTCTGTGTAGCCTAATCCTTGTCATAATAGTCTTCATTTCTATTCCTCTTTTATTATTCATCTACACCCACAAATCCATAGTTTCTCATCCTAATCTCCCACCGGGAAAGATGGGCTTCCCTATCATCGGAGAGAGCCTTGAATTCCTCTCTACAGGAAGGAAAGGTTACCCCGAAAAGTTCATTTATGATAGAATAGCTAAATACTCATCCCAAGTTTTCAAGACTTGTAATCTAGGGCAGCCCACTACAGTTGTTTGCGGTGCGGCAGGCAACAAGTTCTTGTTTTCTAATGAAAACAAGCTTGTTACCTCATGGTGGCCAGACTCAGTAAACAAGATCTTCCCTTCCTCTACACAAACCTCTTCAACAGAGGAATCCAAGAAGTTGAGGAAGTTTCTACGTAACTTTTTGAAGCCTGAAGCCTTGATAAGATATGTAAGCATGATGGACACTATTGCACAAAGACACATAGAGGCTAGCTGGGAAGGCAAACAACAAGTAACTGCGTTTCCACTAGCTAAGATGTACACCTTTTGGATAGCATGCAAAGTATTCTTGAGCATTGATGATCCAAAGGATGTTGCCAAGTTAGCCCATCCTTTCAATAACTTGGCATATGGGATAATTTCTTTTCCCATAGATTTGCCAGGAACATCTTTCAATCGCAGTATCAAGGCCTCGAAGTGGGTAAGAAAAGATTTGCTATCTATCATAAAGAAAAGAAAGGTTGATCTAGCGGAGAATAGAGTACTGCTTACGCAGGATATACTGTCTTACATGCTTTTAACAGCTGATAAGGACGGGCAATACATGAAGGAGACAGACATAGCTGATAAAATTATAGGTTTGTTGATTGGTGGTCATGACACTACTAGTGCTGTAATTGCTTTTATTGTCAAGTATTTTGCAGAGCTTCCTCACATCTGCCAGGAGGTTTTAAAGGGTAAGTTTCCTTTCTAATTATGCTTTTGCTCCTTTTCCATTTTTATTACTCATTTTTGGTTGGGATTGATACTGGTGAACACTGACAGAACAAATGGATATTGCCAAGTCGAAAAGGCCGAAGGAGCTGCTCAACTGGAATGATATTCAGAGAATGAAGTACTCTTGGAATGTTGCATGTGAAGTGATGAGACTAGCTCCTCCACTTCAGGGTGCTTTTAGGGAGGCCATACATGACTTCAACTTTGCAGGTTTCCACATACCTAAAGGTTGGAAGGTAGGGCATGCAGTGGCAGTAGACAGCAGTCCATGCTAATTAAACACACATGTATAGCTTTATGACTACCACTTAATCTTTTAAGATCAGAATGTTGGCTTAAAATCTTTTGTTTTTGATTGCCTTTGCAGTTATATTGGAATGCCAATTCAACACACAGGAATCCTGAAAGCTTCCTGGATCCTGAAACATTTGATCCGACAAGATTCGAAGGGATCGGACCGGCACCTTATAAATTTGTTCCGTTTGGAGGAGGGCCTAGGATATGTCCTGGGAAAGAATATGCACGGCTGGAGATACTTGTGTTCATGCATAATTTGGTCAAAAGATTCAGGTGGGAGAAGCTGATTCCTGATGAGAAGATAATTGTGGATCCCCTCCCATATCATGCTAAACAACTTCCCATCCACCTCTTCCACCACTAAAATACAATAAAAAATCCATCCTTGCACTACAATAGGATACAAGAAGAAATTACTACTTAATTATATCTGTAATCATCTACAATATTATTACAAGCAAGCAAGCAATCCTGTTGCTTCTTTCTTACAAATTTGGTTATGCAATATTGTATTTGGAATTAATGTTTCTGTCTGTGCTTTAAAGGTAGGTTCCGACAGGACACTACAATTGCTTGTGAAATGTATTTTAAGAGGAAATCAAAATTCATGCTCATGTTAGTCCATTTGGTTACCAAAATGTCATGTGAATCGAATCCCCATCAAGTATATAAACTAATTAAGCAATGTAAGTTATTTGTTTTTGTTCTTTTCCACATAAGCTGGAACATGCTAATGCTATTGATTACCTATGACTGATTGTACACATGACTTCACATCGCAGGTTAATGTTCTTCAAACAAGAAAACAATATTAATTCAGAGCTCCTTAATTAATCGGTTGCTATTCAAGTTAATTACTCACTAATCTAATTGTAAATGCAACATTTCCTGTTAACACTAACACTTTGGTACCTCCTTTGAACAATCGGAGTTTTCTTTTATAATGTAAAATTATAATTTTAAATTATGAATGTGATTGTGAGGTAGCAATCGTGATTACGGCTTGTAACTTATCTTGATAGTAAAATAACGATTATGACAATTAATATCGTAAATACATTTGTATTTGTTTATTCTGATATAAAGAATCAAAAGTTTTTATTTTTGAAAAATAATATAGCAACTATGATATAGGTTATTATTCACCAAAAAAAAAAAAAAACATCATTATTGACCTTTACTCGTTATATAATATTGTTATTGTCATTATTACGGATCACGGCTTATCATAGTAATAAAATAACAATTACGACAATTGATATCATGAATACATTTGTAGTTGTTAAAAAATTTATACCAAAATAAAGAATCAAAACTATTTATTTATTTGAAAAATAATATAACAATTGTTATTTAGATCATTATTTTATCAAATAATAACAATAGCATCGTTATATAACTCTATTATTGTTATTATCTAACAAAAATATCATTAAAATTCTTTATAACATCATAGAAAAAAATGCATGTGTCTGAATTTATTAAATAATGACTATAACATTTCGTAATAATTGTTATTTATATTTATGTGTAAAGACTTTTCTCTTGGTCAGATATTGATAGAATCTGATTCATTAATTGTAGTGAATGCAATTAATAAAAAGACAAATATGTGGCAATTTATGCATTAGATTCGGTTGTGCCAAACTTTGATGTAGTTTGTCCTATGATTTTGAACTTATCCTGAAATTTACTTTAATTAAAAATTTACTCTAATTTTAGATTTGGTCTCTTCTAATTTTTTTATTTTTTTATTTTTAGATGTAGTTTGTCCTATGATTTTTCAGAAATCAATCTCTTAAAAAAAAAATCAATTCTTGGTATTTTGAGTTGAAATTTTACACACACTAAAAAATTCAACACATTTTCTAGGAAAGTCTTAGAATTTTTTAAGATAAAAAATATTTTTTATTTTTAAATACTAAAAAAATAAAAAATAATCTTGAATGATCTCAAATTTTTTTTAAAAGTAATAGATAAATCTTACTAAATGATTTATGTCGTGAGAATATTTAAGAGAATTGACTAAATTTCTAAAAAAAATAAAGCCAAAAAAATCAAATTCATAATTAAAAATTCAAAAAATAATTTTTAAATAAATTAAAATTGAGTAAAGATTTGATCCATTTAACCAATAAAATTACTAGCCATCACGTTAAATTCAAATTCTTTCAGCGATTTAGAATGTTTTGTACTGTACTTTTTAGAATGAACTGCAAAGTAAAGGACAAGCATGAATTGCTTTCGAGAAATGGGTATTAATGGAAAAGTAAATTCCAAGAATAATTTTAGAGAATATTTATGTATAAGCATAAATATATTTTTTTTAAAAAAAAAAACAATTGAAGCCTAGCAGGCTTGGCTGGGCTAGGGAAGCCTGGCTTAGACTCTCTTCTTCTGAAAAAAAAAAAAAAAAAAAAAGGTTGCATTTTATATAGTAAATTACAAAGGGATTAATTAATTTGTCTCTTAAAAAATAAAAAGAGACCGAGAAGCAAAAAAAAAAAAAAAAATGCATGAACAAGAGAGATGAGTCTTAAGCTACATGAAATGAGAACCGTCATATGATGCAAGTGGATGAAAGGTTGCAGTCATTGGTCCGGTGGCTAAAGTCAAAACTGAAAACAGAGGAAGGTTTCCTCTTTTTCCTCTTTTTGACAATATGTAGTAGAGATTGTTTTTAAATTGATTTATATAACTAAAATTATAAAAATATATAAGGATTATATAGTTATATTTAAAAAATTTACAAATCTTTAAACTGAGCTTATTAATCAAAAAATAATAAATTAAAAACTTTAACTTACCTAATTAAGTAGAATTTGACTGAATTTAAATTTTAAATATGAGATTATTTAGATTATCATATAAACTTTTTTGTATTAAGTATTACAATTTAATTTTTTAAGCTACTTAAATAGATTATCAAACAAGCCCTAATATTAATAACGGAAAAGGTGAGATGATTCAAGATAGGGTGAATATGATTCCATTTAAACTAAAAAATCAATTTCACTTCAATATTTTAACTCAAAATAAAGAAAACATGAACCATTTTTTTTTTTTTTGGTTCAATTTGAGTTTTGAAAATTTTAGTTTAGTTTAAACTAAAAACTAAAATTATTTTTTCAATTTTTTTATTATTTTTTTAAGTTTTAAAATAATACAAATAAATTAAAAAATCAACACATTTACATTATTTTAGATATAGGATGCATTGATTATGTTTTTGGTTTGTTTATAATATTTTAAAAAATTCAAAACAAAATTTTAATTTAAACTGAAATCAAAAAGCAAAATTTTGGCTTTTAAACCGAATAACAATTCGGTTTGAGTTCGTAATTTGCCTTGTAGATTTGGTTAATCAAAAATTAAATCAAAATCAATAAAAACTGAATAAAAAACTAACTAAATGATCACTCCTAATTCAGGGTCAATAAGAGAAACATGCATAATAATAAAAATAAAGCAAAAGATATTGGGCTACACACGTAATAAGAAACGTTTATGTAGGGGTCCAATTGAAAGAATCTTAAACTTAAGGGTGAAATTTTACTTCTCAAAAAAATTGAGGATGGAAAACATGGCCTACTCAATGTATAACTTAGCACCATCTTTGATCTTTCTCTAACAACGTCAACATTTGGATTGAATTATTCTTTTACGGTGTAGGTTTCGGGAAGGTTGTCTATGGTTTGTGAATTATCCTTCACATATTTTCTTCAACCAAAACTATACATGTATAATTGCAGTTTTTGAAGGAGAAAAGTTTTAAACAGACAATAGATGAAGTGAAAATTGTATAGGGTGAGGAAATAACATATGAAAAGGCAACAACAGTATTGAAGAGGGCTGTCCACTTCTTTTCAGCTCTACAGGCTACTGATGGCCATTGGCCTTGTGAAAATGCTAGACCCTTGTTCTTCCTTCCTACATTGGTGACCATCTTATTATTACATTTTTCCTTTTCAATAATTATCATGACTTCTTGCTGCAGCTTGCTAATTGCTTTCTTAATTTGGTTCACTTAAAAATGCAAGTAATGTGTCTGTACATTACAGGACATCTAGATTCTGTATTCGCTGCTGAGCATCGTAGGGAAATCCTCCGTTACATCTATTATCACTAGGTACTAATTTTATCAAGTTTATTTTTGAGAAGTAATATGCTCATTATATCTAAGGAAATGACATATGCAGAATGAAGATGGCGGTTGGGGACTACACATCGAGGGCCACAGCACCATGTCCTACACAGTTCTCAGCTACATTTGTATGCCGGATTCTCGGAGAAGGACCTAATGGCAATCAAGACAATGGATTCATGAACATGGAACTATAACACACATACCCTCTTGGGGAAAGACTTGGCTCTCGGTAATGATCCATCCCGTTCATCAAATGTAATACAAAACGATCAATAAAACTTATGTTTGCTATAACTGAAACCAATTTGCATGCGGATACTTGGTGTATTTGATTGGTCTGGAAGTAATCCGATGCCTTCAGAATTTTGGCTCCTTCCCTCTTTTTTTCCTATGCATCCAGGTTGTAACATTTTCTTGTGTTAATATTTTTTATTGGACGAGATTGCAATCTCTGCCTACCAGTATCTGTTCATTTTCCCTTTCTGTTGCCACTGTGACGGACAGACAGGAATGACACATGCTACATCTGCACTTTAACTTTTATTTCAAAAGACCCTTAACCTATTACCTTCTTATTGATGATAGGAAATCACCGTGGGCATATAGAAATATCTATCCACTGTGGGCTCTTGCAGAATACCGGAGGCATGTTCTGCTATCTTCGAAATGAATTTAAATCCACTAGCAAACTATCTAACTCATCATTATAAACATAAATGGAATAATAAATCCAATAGCTATACCATTTTGGTTTATTGTTTGTTCTTTTAGAATTTCCTTAATATGTGTATATAGAGGAGATAAAGGTTTTTGCATAATAATAAATTTTTGTTCCCAGATTGATTGTCTGTAGCAGAAAATTATATCCTGAAGTCTCTCACGTTTATACTTTATATAATAAAAAATATGCATACAGATGTTTTTGTTATGGATGTACCACAGCAACTACTGAATGTATAGAAGCTGATGAGATGGCTGCACATGTTTTATGGTTATACTTGTTTTTTTGTTATACGTTGTAAATTACAGCAAGTTAGGAGTACATGTTAGTTAGTTGCAGTAACTTAAGATGATCTGTTGGTTAGTGACTTAGTGGACAACAATTATCTCTCAATTTCTGTATTTAAATAGTTGTTTGGTTCAATAAAATTGATTAGATTTGCAGCCTATTCAAAGCTTTCTTCAAACTGAGTTTTCTAAATTTTTATTGCTTCTGT